ACGTCGTGTATTATACGGGATTGTCCCGTTTTTCTACTTTGTGTCCCGTTGTCCCGACAAAAGTTATACGGGGCGCATTTTGTCCCGTATTTTCAAGTAGGTCCCATATTAATCCCGTTTTTCTCTTTATTGTTAATTTATTATTTTTTTATTTTTTTATTTTATTCTACGATATTTTTGTATCACAATATTCAATATAACATCATTATTTTTAGATTCTTGTCTTGACAATAAATTATTATAATATTGCTGGCGGGTTGAAAATAGAGAACTAATAATGTCACATCATTATCGACAACGTTAAACTGACTATTATAAATACTATAAAAAAATAGTTGTATTACGATAACGTACAAAATGTTATTAATATTATTATATTGATGTGTGACGTCGTCTACTAAATAAGTACAATTCCATCCGCCACAACCAGTTTGTTGTCAATTATAATGTCTATTTTTATTTTATAATATTTATGTAAAATTATAAATATAATTTGTTATTAATATTATTTTATACGTGAGTGTCGAGTTCACGATGACATTCACAGTGTAGTCGTAGTCGTAGTGATGTAGTGACTTGAAGTTAATTAAAATTCAGTGTGACCATACTAGCTAATTTGTTTTTCAAAATGCCCAAAAGACGTTGCGTTTTTACTCCACAATTAAAACTTGAATTTCCTTTTTTAAAAGATGCTGATGAAGTAGGAAAAATATTTTGTACCATATGCAAGTCAGTGTTTTCTATAGAACATGGTGGACGTTCAGACATAACACAACATGTTACAAAAGTAAAAAAACATTTACTGGCTTTATCAGCTGCACAAAACACGAAAAGGTAACTTCTTTTTTTTTTAAAAATGATCCGGGTGGGTCCACTGATGAAAGTAGACGTACTGCAGCACAAGAAGGGATATTCGCATTTCATACCGTGGTACACAATCACTCATTTCGATCAATGGACTGCACATCATCTCTTTTAAAACAAATGTATAATAAAAAATTTACTTGTGCTAGAACTAAGGCTGAATCGATTGTTTTAAATGTGTTAGCTCCTTTCGCCACGCAACAAATTTGTAAGGAAATAGAAAATATAAATTTTGCTACAATTATGATAGATACTTCTAACCATAAGAACCTAAAAATCGTACCAATTTTTATACGTTATTTCAAACCAAATTCGGGAATACAAATCAAAGTTTTTGAAGTAACAAATTTAAAAGGAGAAACAGCAAATATTTTATCAACTTATATAATTGAAAGTTTAAAAAAGCATAAGTTGTCAGATAAAATTGTTGCATTTTCTGGAGATAATTGCAATACTAACTTTGGAGGTGTTTTAAGAAAAGGATCAAATAATGTTTTTTCAATTTTAAATAACAATTTAAAAACGAATATTTTTGGAGTAGGTTGCGCTGCTCATATTTTACACAACGCTATGCAATCAAGTGCTGATGTGTTACCTATTGATGTAGAAATCATAGTTAACAAAATTTTTCAATTTTTTCATATCTATACAGTTCGAGTTAAACATTTGAAAGAGTTTTGTGAATATGCAAATGTTGAATATAAAAATATTCTTGGAAGTGTAAAAACTCGTTGGTTATCCTTATTACCTGCAATAACAAGAATTATTGATATTTACATTTAATCGGGCTTAAAATCATACTTCGAGAAACAGGAAAAGTGTCCTACAATATTAAAATCGTTTTTTAATGATCCTATGTCTATAGTGTGGTTTCATATTTTGCAAAGCCAATTAAAGGTTGTCTGTGATACTGTAACTAAAATAGAAGGGGATAAAATATCAGCCTGTGAAGTTGCAGATGAATTAGAAATTTTAGTTGGAAAAATAAAAAATAGAAAAAATCTAAACTTCCTTACAACAAATATTTTATCGCTTTTAAATGATTTAAAAAAACAATAATATGTATAATTAAAACTCATTCAAAAAAAGTACTGATCTATTTTATAATACTTTTTTATCATACGTAGAAAAATGGGGTTGTCACTTTGACCAGTTGAAAATATTTCGTTGGGTCCAATTAATAAACTGTCCTACTTGGGAAAATGTTCAAAAATGTATTACATTTCTTATGGAAAACAACCGAAATAATTCTAACATAAAATTAGATGAAGATAATTTATTTGATGAATTCAGTCATGTAGAACAAATTTTTAAATCACGAATTCATGAATGGCAAAAAAATTCAGCTAAAGTAGAAGTTAAGTGGTGTGAAATATTTGAATACACTAAGGCTCATAACATTGATACAACTAACATATCAAAAATTGTAGAATATTCTTTGGCAATTCCTGGTACAAATGCTGCAGTAGAACGGATTTTTTCAACCATTAATGTGTTGTGGACAGATGAAAAAAATCGATTTTTGGTTGAAACTATCAAATCAATTTAAATTGTAAAAACACATTTTAAAAACTTATCTTGTAATGAGTTTTATAATATTCTATTTAAAGAAACTAGGTTACTCGATGAAATCAGTTCTGCACAAAAGTATACAAAAACATCAAAAGAAGAAAAAGTGCCATCGACATCAAAATAATTTTTGTTTGGACTTTGTGTACATATTATACTTATATTAATATTTTTTTTGTATTTAAAACTATTATACAGCATACACTTGATTGGTTTTTTTTATATTAATATATTTAGTCAAAATTAGAATTTCCTTTTTTTTTTTAGTTGAGTAACTTAAGTGTCCCGTATTTTTATTTTATTTTTATGGTCACCCTATGTTAATATCTCCTGAGCAACCAACAGGAAAAACAAACAAAAAATTAAGGAAAAACGGGAATTTTTTACGCAAAACCCATTTTTTGAAAAAATCGATTTTGGTTTTTAGTGTAACTCTAACAAAAATGTACATACATGAAATTTTCACTGAATATATGTGTAAGCATTTCCAATACACCATACAATTTTCAAAATATTTTGATTAGTGTTGATCTATTTGTAGACAAATGAAATTTTCGACTATTATTTATTTTTTTTAAGCCCAAGTCGATAAAAAAAATGTTCGCTCTGTCAAACAACTTGAAAATTTAATACAAGGTTCCTCGTGAGCGCTTGGTAATGGAAATTAAAAAAAAATTGAGCTTAAATCCACAATAATTTTTTATGAGTGTTTAAACTTTGAATTTTGACAAAATTCGTAAAAATCATGAAATTTAGCAAATTATAGGTATTTAGTTAGAAATTCATAAAATATTATCTATTTATATCAAAGATTTAAAAATTGAATACAAGATTCCTTATAAGTTTGTCTATCTTTATAATAATTTCGAAATGAAAGTAAAATTAAATTTTTATGAACGTTTGAAGTTGACATTTTTACAACATTGGATATTCACATGATTTCTCATGTAGTGATTTTCTTATTTTGTTGTAATAATTCAAAAACGAATAATTGTAGTTGTTTGAAATTTACACCATATGTTTATTTCACTAATTCATAAACTTGTACACTTTCAAAATATTTTGACTCGTTTTAAGCTGTTGACCGTCATTTTCAATTTTTATTTTTTAATTTTTTTTGTTCTATAAATTATTTGTTGGGTCAAAAAGCATGAAAATGTTATACAAGACTATATATTATTGCAATAGCAGTTGAAAAATATTGAAAATACTTTGTCACTATTTTTTTTTATAAGCATTTAAAGTTCAAATTTTGACAAATTTATCAAATTGAAAATTGAAAAATGATTTTTCAGTTAAAAATGTATAAGAAAAATAGAAAAAAAAATTTCAAATTTTTCGAGCTAAGGATTGAAAATTTAAAACAAGGTTCCACTGAGCAGTTTTTTCCGTAACTTAAGAATATAAAAAAATATATAAATATAGTTATTTTTTACAGACATTTCAAGTCCAAATTTGGTCAAATTACATATTAACAGAAAGAATACGAATTTTGTTATTTTGTTGTAATTTGGTTCTATAGCAGCCCAATTTTACATAAGAATATTTAATATTTTTCCAGCATCACTGATAATTTAAGAATAATATTAATTCAATTTACCAGCTACCGTATTAAGTTTTTTGTGTTTATTCATTGGCTTTATTTTTTGGTAGTAAAATATTATCAAAAACTTCATACATAATCTCTATACAGATCACTAGATCAGACATTTTCTTTACCTGGTACCCACTTTATACGGGGTAATTTTTATAATTTATCGTTTGTTTTCCACACATAAAAAAATATTTTTTGTAATTTTAGTCATTAATTTCTATAAAAACAAAACAAAATATAAATAATAATATTTTAAATTTCATATGATTTTTTAGTTTCATTTGTATTTATTAGTTAATAGTTTCCATAGCAGCGAAACTAAATAGGTATACATTATATTTTAGATAATTGATTTCATCATCGATTATATTGTTTAGGTATTTGTATGTGATTGAATTACACAGAATTTTATATTTTGTTCATTAGCATTCACTCGTAGACTATTATGGCTCAACAATTACAATATTAGGGATACCCCGGATACATGTTACGTAACAATATTAGATACTGATAGTAAAAGTAGTAATAGCAATAAGGATATAGTAATAAACTAATAAGATAGATAATCGAACATATTCAATCAAGATGTATAAGCATAAAAGATACCTAATTAATATTAATAGGTAGTATACACAGACTTAAACAGGTACTACACTACTACCAAGGCCGTAACTAGAAATAATTTACGGGGGGGGGGGGGGGGGGTTTTGAACCCTCGAAACCCCCCCCCCCAGATACGGCCTTGACTACTACCCACGATTTAAGATAGTACTATCTTAAATCGTGCTACTACCACAGAATAATATAATATTATTAATATACATTAATATGCTACTACCATTGATTAAATACAAATCTGTGTTGAATTTTAGTCTGTGGTACAATAATAACACCGTATCGTATATGATCAAGGGTGTTGAGATATCATGTTAAACAAATCAGCGATAACATATTATCATTTATTCTTTTGATATCGTTGATAAAGAGTTGAATAATATTCAATATATTTTCAATTTCGGTCAGTGGTCTTACTAAGCCCTAGCCGGCTATATTTCTACTTAAATTATATATTACAACTCTGAACACTTCCACTATTAATCGAATGAATAATAAAAATATTTATCTGCCATCGCGATTTGCTGTTTTATTGGATTGCACTACTGCAATGTCGGACGGTTTTTCGATGAGCCTTAAGATTCCCTTCTGTTTGTTCTGTGATGAAACAGCTAAAAATTCTATATTGTCACTATACTGATTAGGAAGCATAACTTTCCGGTAGCATCAAGTTTTAAGGAGAATGGAGAAGTATGAATGATGCTTGTTTCTCTATTTATGTTTTTTTAATTTGTAAGTCACTTTAGTACTTTATGATTCAATCACTTGTGTGTATTTTTGTTTGTTTGATAGTCTTAATTACAATTCTTTTGAAACGTTTAGTATGTTTCAAATGTTGTTTATGCCATGGAAATGTAACTTTATTAATATGCATAGTGAAAATACTGAACTGAACAGCAGTTAACATTTGAAATATTGCTATAGAACTAACTATGAAGTCAAAGCAATCAGCAGTTGTCTCGTGGGATTCAAAATTACCATTTCCGAGTAAGATGGTTAAATTTTAATATTTATTTACTTAACATTATTATTTAATGTAATGTAATCATTGTCAATGTACGTTTTTCAGAGTTTCCAGTCTGGTTGTATGTTTTAATAGTAGCATTTGTATCTATATTATGCTATGGTAACTCATATTATGGTGCGTTTGTATTTGATGATTCTGAGGCAGTTGTAAATAATCACGACGTAAATCTAGAAACTCCAGTTATTAAGATTTTTAGCCACGACTTTTGGGGTACGAGACTAACAAATCAGGCTAGTCATAAATCATACAGACCTCTTACAATACTGTCCTTCAGGTATCTACATGAGAACTTATTATATTTTCTATTTAAATAATTGTTGATTATTGAATTATTATTGAATTCATTGTTTTTAGGTTAAATGTGTGGTTAAATAATGGACATTTATGTCCAAAGTCATTACATTTCACCAATATAATTTTACATGCAATTGTTTCCTGTCAACTGTTACATGTCTATAATTTGTTATTTAATGGAAATTCTCCTAAGACTTCATTTTTAGCAGCTCTCATGTTTGCAGTGCATCCTTTCCACACAGAAGTGGTATGTTCTATACTTCTGTAATTGTATACTATAAGTATAATAATAAATTAAGTTAACTGTGTACTGATATATTTATTTGCAGGTGTCTGGTATAGTCGGTCGCGCTGATCTACTTAGTGCATGTTTGTCTCTTCTTGTCTTCATTATTTATCATAGAACAGCAAAAGCTAAACAAATAAATACATTAACCAACATAATAGCCACAGTATTTTGTTGTATTTTAAGTGCCATGGCTATGCTATGCAAAGAACAAGGACTTATGATTATGGTAGAACTTATTTTTGTTATATTACGTTTAATTCAGTGAATAAATAAAACCGACAGATTATCAACATACCTAATTATAGACGTTTTGTGGTGTGTTTGAAGTTATTGTAATCAACAAAATCACGTTTCAAAATATTATGAAAAATATTACAATTTCAAAAATAATAAGATTGCTTAAAAAAGAATCATTAGAAAGGCTGTTTATATTGACTGTCGGATTTTGTATTATTCTTTATGGCAGATGGACTATCATGGGCTCTCCTCCTACTTTTCAACAAATTGATAATCCTGCATCATTTTTAACAACACCATTTGAAAGAGTATACAAATTTATAATTTTTTTTTTTGTTTTCCATAGTTTATCAATTTGTACATGTTACTTCTTTAACAATTTTTCAGTTTGTAAATTACAGTTACATCTATTTCATCAACATTTGGATAATGATATGTCCTGTTTGGCTATGTTTTGATTGGTCAATGGGTTGTATCCCTCTGATACATTTGAATACATTTCCCAAAGATCCAAGATTATTCATTGTTTTTGGATTTTGGACTATTCTTGTATTAATATTTTATAAGATCCTGTTTTCAAAAATGTATGATAAAAAGTGTGTATTTTTTTTTTTAAATTTGTATTTCTGTTAACTAATATTTATAATCATCATATTTTTTCAGACAAATACAAATGGGATTTTTATTAGGTCTTTTATCGTTTCTACCTGCTTCAAATTTAATGTTTACTGTTGGATTTGTCATTGCAGAACGAGTGTTATACTTGCCTTCCGCTGGTTTCATTATAATTGTAGTCCTGGGTATCAGGAGATTATGTTTTAATTATTTTGTTCAAAGAGTAAGTTAATATATTACTTTTAATCTTTATGTAATATTTGTTTTTTAAACATTTGTTTAGTTAAATATTTTAATCATTAACACATTTTATTCATTGTAATTTAGGTTGTTAGAATATGTATTTTACTATTAATTTTTGTACATTCCATTCGAACATATCAACGCAGTAAGGAATGGAGTTCTGAATTAGAATTATTTAGAAGTGCATTAAAAGTTTGCCCAATGAATGCTAAAGTACATTATAATTTGGCAAAAAGTTTAGCCGATATTGGACATACACAGGAAGCTATAGACCGTTATAAACATGCACTATTGTAAATCTGTTATATTTCTTACAAAAGCAAACCATTAATATAATTATAATATCATTCATTAGATTACACCCAAAGTATGATCAGGCGATGAATAATTTAGCAAATATTTTAAAAGACAAAAATGAATTGGAAGAGGCCAGATCTTTATTAGAAAAAGCTGTTACTATCAGGTAAGTGAAAAGAAAACTGAATATTACATTTACTTGAAATACAAGAAATTATATTTATGCAATAAAAATAATTTTGGTATAGTATCACTGTGATAATTTCAGATAATTTTGTATGTAATAAATGAAGTTATTAATCTTTAATATTTTTGAGGACCTATTTAACAGTTTGAATATACTAGAATATGTCCTCCCATAATTTTTACTCATTATGTAAATAATTCTTTGATAATTTACTTATACCATTATCTATTATACACTACTTTAAAATAACACTTAATATTGCATTAGCTTAAAAGGACATAGTACACCCACAGTGGAGTAGCAAGAGTATGGCTAACTGTGTCTACACTAGGAGCAAAAAATTGTGCTTCAATAGTGGTATTTTTATTTTGCCTTCAAAATAACATTTTTGCATTATACATATTACAGTTTGAAAATTGAAATGAGTATATTTTTGTTTATTTGCTCACACTAATTGTGTATTTAATGATGAAGTTATGAAAATAGCACAAGGAATATCCCAAATTGTATTTGATTAATTGTTGTTATAAACTAATCATATACATATTTTTAGTGAAATTTAAATGACTATTAAATTTGTATTCAACCAAAGTAATGTTGTTTTTGATTCTGATTTTGGCAAATTTTGAACCCTCTTTTGCCTGATCATAAAATTAACTTACTAAAATTGTATTAATTGGAAAGAACTAGAAAAAAAGGTTACTTGATGATACAATTATTGATCGAGGTACTAAAAGTGTTCAAATATAAAAACGAAAAATGGGGCAAAATTTTAAAAATAATTGTGGATATTATTATGTTTTTCAGTAGAAGTAATCATGCTCTTATAGGACATTTAGAGAAAATTCCAGACTCAAAAAAAACATTTAAAATTGCTTGATGAAGGGAAATCCAAAATCAGTTACTTCTCACTAACCATACAAAATGAATTTATTGATTTAATAAGAAAAACTGTAAAAACTGTAATTTCTTGAAAACATTAAAAAAGTAAATATTATTTGATAGCACAAAAAGAAAATTTTGAGGTTTGAAATTTACATTGTTGTAATAACTGATAATTATAATAAAATGTTGTATAAATTGTATTCTTAAAAAAATAAACACAAATAAAGATTCAAAAAATATTGCTTCAATTTTTCAATTGGTAAAAAGGCGCTTTTTTCTATGTTTGCCAGGGGCGCTTATGAGTCTTTTAACTCCACTGTACACACATATTTTTTCTATCACATTAATCTTACACACCAGTTATATTGTAAATCTATGTGCTGGATTCTTATTACAGTTAATTTATAGTTAATCTTAGATAAAATTAACATATTTTAGGATTTGTAAAGGAGAATATTAGCTTTGCTCTAACAAAAAGTTTTTTCATATATATATAACTATATTCCTTTCTAAAAGAGAATAAAATGGCAGGGACCAGTTTTTGTCTGGCAGGCACATCTCCCACATAACTACATAGGAAAAAAGTGAGCAGATCTGGTATATTCTCTTTTGGAACGGAGTATAGTTATATAGTTAAAAAAAAATGAATTATTTAAATACTTTACTCTTAACTAGTTTTAATATATAAATATGAAGAAACTATCAGCTCAAGCACAGTTTGAATTCTCCTCTAAAAATTTGCTTTGCTATATCTTTAAATAAATTGTAGTAAGAATCTGGTTAGTAGTTTTTCTACAACACATGCATGTACAACGTCTTCTTAATATAATGACAACATTTTATTGAATTGGTTTTATTCAGAAATGATTTTGCTGCTGCTTGGATGAATTTAGGTATTGTATTATCCGCTCAACACGAGTACAATAAAGCTGAAGATGCATACTTAACAGCCTTACAGCACAGAAAAAGTTATCCTCACTGTTACTTCAACTTGGGAAATTTAGTGAGACCTATATGAAATAAGTGATTGTACTCATTTGTATAATATAATTTTTTTTTTAGTATTTGGAAATGGGAGAGAAGACTAAGGCATTATTTGCTTGGCAAAATGCTACATTTCAACAACCAACCCATGTTATTTCATGGAATAATATGATTGTGCTGCTAGAGTCAATTGGTGAATTAAAAAGAGCAGAGAATGTAGCTCGCACAGCCCTTTCTATTTTACCAAATGAACCAAATTTACACTTTAATATAGCCAACATATTAGGTAAAATAGATAAATTTGTTGAAGCTGAAAAACATTTTTTGGCTGCTATTAAATTAAAACATCGATCTTCTAAAGCTATATTAGTTGCATTATATCATTCAAATCTTGGTGAGTATTTACTTAAGTTAGATTTTTTTTTAAATTAATTGTTTGTTTATTTTTATAGGAGTTTTGTATCATCGTTGGGAAAAATATGATCTCGCAGAAATGCATTATTCACAAGCATTGATGATTGATCCAAATATGCAGAAAGTTAAAAATCACCTTGCATTAATACGTAAACATTTAGGTGAAATCAATCAACCCACTCTAAGTATGAAGTCTTATCAACAAGAAAAAGAGTTTTAATAAATCAAATTGGAAAAGTTTTTGTTTCATTAATATTATGGTTATATTATGCAAGTACAAGTCTGTATTGCTGTCATGTTTGCGTTCTAAAAGTTATCAAAAGTCAAACATAAATATTATGATAACAATGTTGGTTTAGATCATACAATAGAAATACATATAAATATAATATGAACAAAAATGGTAAATGATCAAGTATAACATTTTTAATAACCACTACTGTGAAAACATATGGTTGTGATTAATTTTTAATTTAGTCATGTATGAAAATATAATGAATATTTTTGTAGTTAATATTTATTTCCAAGTAATGTCTTACTTTAATTTTTATTTGTGTGTACCATGACATCAAAACTTCTTTTAACCATTCCAGTGATATAATCTAAAATTAAAGTATTTAATTTACTTAAGTTAATGTAACTACAATATTGATTAGTTCTTGAAAACCAGTTATTATATTTTGTTAGTGTTATAATATGAATGTACAGGATAGTTCATCTATGTTTAATCATGAAACAACTGTTTTTTCCCCGTAGAATGTATTTTACTATTTAAAATACTATGTAATTATTTAATTTCCATAACTTTTTGTTGATTGAATAAGATATGTTCATAAGATGTTTTGTAAAAATGAATTTTTTTTATCTCGTACACGATGTACAGTTTAAAAAATGTGACTTTTGAGGATGCTACAACTGTAAGTGTTGCCTGTCTTATTTTTTTTACATAACGTTAGAAATCTATGTATCAGATTCTTACCACAGTTCATTTATTATTAACATTAGAGCAAATTTACATGTTAGACAAATTGTAGAGGAGAATATAAACTATAAAATGTGTCTAAGCAAAGATTTTTTGATACTTTAATTTTAAAATAAGTCATAAGTATGTCAGCATAATATTTGTTTTCACTCTTAGACCCATTCTTTAACATAGACAAAACACATTCACCTAAAATCGTTTTTATGATTTCTTAGTTATCTTAGAGTAAAGTTACCTATTACAAAAATTATAGAGGGTAATATTTCTCAGGGTGGGTATGAAAAATCAGTATACCATACTTTCAAAAATATTATTCTCTATCGTTTTTGCAATGATTGATTTTACTCTAAAATATAAAAAAATGATTCTGTAAATTTTGTTTTGTCTATGTTGTGTACGGGCCAGAGAGATAAAATGAACAGTTCGCTGACATCCTCTTAAAAAAAGTCATTTTTTCAAATTCATACAACTTGTATTAAAATAAATGTATAGAAAAAATCTTTTCTCAAACAATTTATATTCTCCTCTACAAGTTTAATAATATGTAAAAAATACTCAAATATTTACTATGAATAAACTGTAGTAAGAATCGTGTTCATGGATTTGTAATGTTACAGACATATAAGAAGGGTGTAGTCTCCTGTTAATTAAGTATCCAAGTGATATTATAAATTTATAATACATTGATAACACTAATATTTAGTCATTATCCTAAGATTAATTATTTTAAGACCAATGCAATTTAGATTCATATTGTTTGAAGTATGATTTAGATTTAAAATTTTTACATTTTTACATGGATTTTTGTATTAAAATAAAACTTAATTGGTTATCCTAACAGTTTATTAGTACTAAACAACCCAATATTTCTTACAGTAAAAAATTGTACTCCTTTTTATATGTATTAATACTGGAATGTGATTTTATAAGTATAGGAACAAGTATGTATTTCACTACTATATAAATTAAATACAACAGGATGATCTGAATAAAATACACTCTTTTTAGTTAAATTTAACAAATTTTTTAAGGAAGTTTAACCATATTTTATTTTTTTCTAAGACATGACATGTTTTAATATTCAACATAATCGTTTAATAATTTTAATGCTACTAGATTTTTTAAAATTATAAAACGGTTTTCAGTACTGAATATCAATCACAGAATAGGTTAAATTTAACCTATCTGGTGTTAATACTTTACAGGGGTAGGCCAATCAATTTCAATATCTAAAACATCTAAAGCCAATATATCAACTGTATCGTTTTCTAAAACTGTCCTGAGGCAAGGATTTGTACGTCCAAAGTCTCCATGTACAAATTCTTTGACATATGTACCAGCCTGGGTGGATAAAATCACATTGAAAAATGAACAACCATTATCTACACCAACTTTGGTTGCTACAGCTTTCATCGAGTGTATAGTTCTGGGCCTGACCATATTAGCTCTTCTATGTAATACTCGGATTGGTGTGTACTGTGATATTTCTAGAGGAGCACAGTTATTGAGTTTTTCAATATCTGGTAACTCTCCTTCAACATAACAAAGAGCCTTATATACTTTGATTTTAAATTCTTCACCTGATTTCAACTCTTTTAATTGGTCTCTAACAACATTTTGCAAGTGTGTTACAGTCACTTGGGGATCAGTGTTTATTTCATTTTCAATTTCCCTCAATACTTCATAGCTGAATTTAGTTAGTTTTGGATTGACTAATTCGATGGCAAACGGCCTTCCTCTTCCTAACATTCTGACGTCAATGTCTTCTCTACCAGATGAAGAGAATTTGAATTCATCAGCTAATGCACGTTTTTTTATTGGATCAGATATTATTTCTTCAACTGAACTCTCTAGCCTTCTTTCTTGGTCTACTATCCAAGGTGTTTGAGAAAGGGTCCTAGACCACTTATTATAACGACCAGCAATATATACGCTTTCATGTCTAGCATCTACACTTTTGAATTCTATTACTGATTCTGGTACTGATGGCATTTCACCATATTGACTAACGAAATCTTTGTTATCCATTTGAGATAAAATATTTTGTAAATTTTTGTTACTTAATTTGATAATTGCATTTAAACAATCAAATTCATCTTTTATATCTTTATAATGAAAACCTACAGTAACTAGCAACGGTGAATGCACATCAAAACGTTTACCGGTGGCTTTCACAATAGCGTCCTCAGCCATTAGTTTCCATGCGTCTTTAGCACAAACAAAAGCTGTAGGAAACGTTGGATTGAATGTTATTCTTAGTTTTGATACATATAATGCAATTGAATGCCCACGAATAATGGTACACATGGGTAAATTAAATGCTAAATTAAATGTATCGGAATCATATTTAGATGTTTTTAGATGAGAAATTATTTTATTGATAATATCATCTTTTTGTGGATTTTGAAATAATCCCAAACATGCTATACAAGGATTTTTTTTTAGACGTTTTGGTTCATCATGATCCTGTTCTGATGCAGCAATTAATGTCTTAACATTAATAGTAGAAGGTTTTGTCAAGTGCCTAACTGCACATACTCGACAACAACCAAATTTTAACAAGTTCTGTTGAATTTCTTCTACGTTCTGTTCCATTGCCATGTCTGTAAATAAAAATACATTTGAATAAGTCAAATATTAATTTTATTCTAACTTGTAAAAAGTATTTGTGAACTTTAATTTTTTTTTAACTAACTTATTGTATTCAATATTATTTGCAAAACAAATTATGTATTACAAGTAGCATGTTACTTCTTCTGCAAGAAAAATTGAAGAACCAGACATGTTTTTGGGTAAGTGCAGTTGAAAAACATCTAGTAAGCATGCTACATTTTACTAGAAATATAATTTATTTATTTTTTGTTTGTTTGTTTTTATTGTTCATTTGCTTTTATATGGCAATAAGCTAAGGATTACAAAAATCAGCCTTGCAAAAATTGGTTAGAAAAATATAGTGGTACTTACAGAAAATACATTTATTTTAAAAATTTACAGCCATTATGTCATTTTATAATGATTTATAAGTTAGGTATATTATGTTAATTTAAAATTTAAAAAATATATTTATTTTCATAACTAGTGGCATTGATTATAAACACTAGTAACTAGTCTGCTGGTAGCCCATTATTATAATAATTTTAAAAAGCAAAACAAATTCAAATGATTGTTTTACAGATTTTAGATGATACCACTAAGGAAAAACATGTGTATTTTGAGTAAAATACACATTATAGAACTTCGGAGACGTTCAATTTGTTATCAAGAATTAATGTTCAAAAATATTCCAAATTACATGATCCAACGTTTTACACAAATTTAACCGCAATTGTAAAAAATATTTTAAAATTTGTCACTAGTAAGTGGTTCAGATTATTATTTTTCAGACGAATAAATTAAACATCGAGTTGTGTATTCAATGAACCTCGATGGTCGTTGTAATCGTCGATGGGAACATGTACAGCCGGCACTGCGATGTCTACGCATAGCAAGTGTTCAGTAAATGAAAGTTTTCCTTTCGTATCAAACTTGAGAGTTCGATCGTCAACAGGTGTTCGATTCGCCAAGTAGCGTCATGATTTATTTTTCATCCTGGTTTAAATATCTAACAATTAACTACGACCGCGGGAAAAGAAACCGATTAATTGTTCGAAATTGAAAAGAACTGGCGTGTAGGTACCTATTCACGAATTACAATCGCATGCGGTAATGTGGTAGGCACGCGCGTGTGCGCGCGCTCGATCATAATCAAGGCAGGCGGAGGCGGCGAACGCCCTTGAGCGTCGAGAGGTCGACCGGCGACGACGACGGCATTACGATTAACGTTGCACAGCAACAAGCGGCCGCTCGAACTTTTTAAAGGCAGTACTCACTAAGGCAGTCACTAGTCAGTGGTTACTAATAAATTGAGCTCGGGCGATGTGCGGTGGTTAGTCAGAGTGGTCCGACGTAGAGCAGGGCGACCGATATGGACCGGATATTTCGAGGCATAATGAAGTACAGGCGGACGAACAGGGCGAAAATGGTCGAACAATTCGTCCAAGTGAAAAACAACCCGGAGGTAAGGCCAACGCGAAAGACTTCGAGTCCCCGTAAGACGCAAATACTCGGGGGAGGGCACAGTTAGGTTGCTGGAAATGAATATTTAACGAGATGCTGCGTCTAAAATATGCTTTACCTAATTAGTAATTGCCTCGTCAATTGTCGTCAGTAGTCGTCTTGTCACTTTGTCAGCTGCTGAAACGACGTTATAGAACGGCGCATTGGAATAATGAATATGTATCAGGAAACCACTGGGACTGTCACCGACGGTTTATCAATTTATCATCGGGAAACGTGCGGCGTGCTCGCTTATCGTCTTGGTATATAGTAGTCGTCTCGGACTCAGTGTTGCCAGCAAACAGCGATAACGATATTTGTAAAAACGACCTGGGTGGCTGGGGTCTTTGCCCTCTGGGAGGTGCAGCAAGTGTTGCTGTTTACAAATTGCAATGCAAGTTATTGTATATTCTCAATATACATAGACACATAAATTATGTAGTGTTAATTTTTTTATAGTAAACAATTCGACTTTGCTATTTAAGCCCCCCCCCAAAAAAAAACTAATTCGTAGGTATACTAGATTATACTTTTTCTTAGTATTTTGCTTTTAATCTTTTTTTAAATACAATTTGTTCTCTCTCCAATATATATACATACATAATATATTGCTGTATCACTATTTTGTTTCGTGCTTATATTATGATCAAAGTTAGATGCAGATAGACAATGGTGCCTAACCGGAAAAGGTCGGTGGCAATCGCTGATCGATTATTTTGTTGAAAAATATTCTATGTTTTGTATATATATATATTATATATAGGTATATATGAAAGTAATTGTAAAAAACGAAGTTTAAATAAATATATATATATATATATAGTATACTTGCGAGTTGCGGTCATAAGCCGTCGTAGCCTTTAATCGATATCGACGATACAAATAACTATTACTACTGACGACTGTCGGTGTCACGAAAGTCAAATTAGGTAGTGATAATTGTGTATTTCAGTATTTGTGTGGGAGGGGGAGTATAGCCAGGGTCCAATATAGGAATATTTAAGTTCCAACCAACAAAACTCCTAAGTGCGCGCCTGAACTGTAGTGATCGTTAAATAATAATTATACAAATTATGCCCTGAATATAAAAGCCTGAATAGGGTATTCACTTTTGTTATAAGTTATTACTTATAATACAACAGTGGTCTTTTACTCGCGGGTGATCACTGTGAAGCAGGATTTTTGTACTTACCTTCTCTGTAACTGAGATCGTAGATGGCTGTAATTCAATTTTAGCGCCAATTACTAAATTACTCGATTTTGTTTTTGCACATAATAGCTACTCATGATTCAATTATATTCATTCGCCATCATCATTTTTCAAAAGCAAATTGGAGACGATAATTTTTTTTTATAATTATGATCGTTATTCGTTTTAAACACTTGCGTCTTCGTGACGAAGGGAAACACGTTAGAGCTTGGTGTGTTGTGTGGTGGTTGGTGACGTAAAACGTTTGTGAAGTAGCCCGCGCCCTTTAAAGGATAAGAATCGCACAGCAATCCTTAAAATTGGCACACTTTTAAAATAAGTTGAAATAACGCCCCTGTTCATAGTTACGATGTTAGCACTTTTTTTAGCTCTATCGTTTTTGCCAAAAATTAAATAGGCCGTGAATTCTACTTAAGTATTCAGCTTGCGTATTGCCATTTTTTTAACGTGTAACTATAATTTACAATAATGTATTATAAAATCAATGACCGTACCGTTTATATGTACCTAAGGTACCTATAATAAAGTATCAATACATAAAAACATTATATTTGATATTCGAATATTAGTATTTTCTATAATTTATTAGTTTTGTATATAAAATCAATCCCGTTTTGCTGGGGACAGTGGCGTAGCCAGGATTTTTTTTCGAGGGGGGCTGATCAATTTTTTACACAGCGGTGGTTTAGTTTTTGATCGAATACCATAGACCGTTAAAATAATTTTTTAATTTTATTAACATTTCGGAGGGGGCTGCAGCCCCCTCAGCCTCCCCCCTGGCTACGCCACTGGCTGGGGATAATATGTGTTAGGTATTATAAATGAAGGCAATCAAATAAAAAAAAATGAAAAATGAATATTAATAAATTGACATTTTGATGAAATGGGTAGATAACAAATTATAATACCTAGGTACGTTAGTTTGTTTCCTATATCAATTTAGTTACACGTTTTACGTAATGCCATAATGGTACAATAACGTAGGTACCTACCTACCTATAGGTTTAAAGTTTTAATAGTACCTACTTACCCAGTATTTTGGTAATATTACGTTGTTCAAAACTTATTATCGACATCGATATTGACTATATATATGCATATTATTATATATAATATTATGATAGTTTGACATGTTATGAATATTTTAGTTTTTACAATTAGTTTTTATCGTATTCATATCATCACCTTTTAAAGTTATGTAAAAATTAATCGATATTCAATTTTAACGATGGTCACTGATAGAAAATTGAATTTACTAAGATAGTTTATAGTGTTGGTACAATATACTACAATGGGTGTAGGTATAAAAGTGCTGTAACTGAGGTTTTCCAAATGATCAAGAAAAACTATAAAAAAATATTTATAAATGTTCTCTCTAGATTTTAAATAATAGTGTTCAAAATATTTTGGATCTTTTTATTTATAGACATCTGAAGTGTTCGAATTTTTTTTTAAATGTATGTAGATAAATTTTGGTTTTTGAGTAAAAAACTAGAAATTCTAATACAAGGTTAATTATAACTCATAAGTTGTTGTATAGCGAATACATAGTCGAAATGTTTTTATACAAATTTAATGTTTTTTGAAATTCTTCAAAATTAAGAATATTTTTAAAGTAAAAAATCCATTAATTGTTTTTTTGCTGGAAATTAAAAAAAAATTAGCATAAGGCTACATTCCTACATTTTTTACAAGAGATACTTGATAAAATGCTCAACATAATAAACGATTTTTGTTATATTGTTATTGTTTAAAAAATTTAGTTGAAGAAATAAGCAACATTTCATTATTACTCAAATTATCATTTTTTTACACCGTGATATTTTAATATATTTCAACTTTTTTTAGCTTTCTTTTATGAACGCTGATAAAAATGTTTATGCTTGCTCAAAAGCTTGAAAATATAATACTAGTCTTATCCCTGTAAGTTGTTATTAGAGACATCAAAAAATACCAAAAAGGTAAATGTACAATTTTCAGCTATATAGACTTCAAGTTCATAAGTCATCAAAATTGCAGATATTTTAACGAAAAATAACGATTTTAGTTATCACCAATATTATTCATATTTTAGCTTTTCGTTATAACTTTATTATATTATATAATAATTTACTATAGGCCATACATTTTTATAAATATTTTGATTCATTTATATGTGTAAGCTGTACTTTATCGCGGTAATGTATTTATAGTAGTCACACCATTTTTTGGCAGTATATGTCGGTATCTAAATCAAAATTCTAACGAGTAGGTAGTTTCTAAGTTATTAAAATTTATATACCTATACCCAGGTTTTACAGACATTTCAATCATTTTGTATTTCAGTAACTTTTGAACATTTCATCTTGCGTAGGTACTAAGTCAATTGTTTCAAATTAATTAATAGTTAGTAATAAGTAATAACTATTATTTTCAAATCATCAAAACACTACATATGTTCCAAATCTATTATCCTTTGTACACAAAACTAAATAACTCAAAAACTACTCGTTCAAATTTTGATTTAAATGTATAAACATTTTTAAAAAGTATTGACAGGAAAAACAGTGATTTTGTTTGAAAAAAAGTTTGTATTACCACATGAAACTTTAATATTCTAGGTATTTAAAATTTTTTTTTTTAAAGTATATGTATTTAAAATTATAAAATTCAGAATAATTTATCGAATAATTGTGGTTGAACATGCTTGGTGAATAAATATTTAATTATAATAAAACACCCTTAGAAATAAATAACCATACAGACCGTCTCCATTCAGAGTTGTTTTTTATATACAATGATTTATAGTAGAATAATCGGGGGTCCAAAACAAAAAATTCCGAATAGTTTTCAAAAGTGTCTGGAAAAACAAACAAAAATTTAAGGAAAAACTGAGATTTCTACTCAAAACTTGCAGTTTTCGAAAAAATGTAATTTGATTTTTGATGTAGGTAATTCAAAAAAATGTAATAGTATATACATGACATTTTCACCTAATGCTTATATTAGCATTTTTTATACTTTATACAATTTTAAAAGTATTTTTAGGTTTTGTTAAATTATTACCCATAAAAAAATGTTTGCTTGAAAAAAGAACTTGAAAATGTAATAATAATATAATAATATGTTAGGTTGATTTGGTTAGGAAAAATCGGTATGCAATTGTGTATTTACTATTTAATTGAAATTAGCAATTTGTCAGTGCAAACAATATAAAGTCAAACTAAAGAAACCATAAAAAAATATGTTAATTCAATTTTTTTATCCCATTCTTTGAAAAATGAGGAAACCCTAATAATGTTACATAATTGCATCTATATTTTATAGAATGAATATATTTTTTTAAATTTAAACAGGTTGCACTTGAAAATCTATCGTATCTTAATGTAATATAATTTATTATTAACACAATTTGTGCCATTCCAATTAGGTACTATATTTTTATACTTCTTAAGTCTTATCTGTTATTACATGTACCAAAATGATAATAGCCATTAATTAGAGTCAATATTAATCATTATTGTATAAATTATTTACACAGCATTTATAAAATATATTGAATGCATAATATAGGTATAATGTTACTATTTACACTATTAAAGACGAAAGTTTTTAAATAATATATTTATATATTATACTAAACAGTACCAATAAGTGGTTGCGCAGATATGAAGTAAATTTTTTAGGAACATTGACATATTGTATAACCACGAATCACGCGCGATCTATGTAACATACATTTTCTTGGACCCTATAAGGGGGGGGGGGGTCACAACTCATCGCGTCGTGTCGTATTCCGTATATTTAATACAACGGTAACAAAATGTCCACGCGTTTAATGTCAACTTGTGAGCCCCCTGAAGTCATACAATCATACCTATGATTACAACACCTATGATTATTGAGTATAATTAATAGTTTTTAGATATTTTTTTATTTAATAAATTAATAAACTGGGATAATTTTTTACTAGGACACTAGGTAATATATTTTTAGAAACAATAATGTTTAAATTAATTTGTATTGTAGGTAGTTGTTTTAGCGCTACTAATCTAAAATGACTTTCCAATAGTTTACGAGTTTTGACTGACCTTCCTGAACTTGTTTTTGTTATATTCCGTGTGTGAGAGACAGAGAAAACAAACCTTCGTGTGACGTCCACTTAAGGTTGCAAAAAACTATTGAACAATCATTTAACAACTTTATAACGGTGACAAATGTGAGATTTGGGCAATGCATACGTACCCATAAACTGTATACATTTTTTCAACATATTTTTTTAATCCTATATACTATTATATATTAATTTATAACAGCCAGTTTTCACCGATTAATTTTTTTTATCATCTTAAAGATATTATAACTGATTTAAGATATAGTTTTAAATGGGTATGTTTCAAATACATAATATTTACTCATAACTTGTTGGTAGGTACCTTGGTAGCTTTGTAATTTTTTTAAATACATTGCAAAATGACAGTTTCGGTATTTAGTACTCTGGAATCCGCCCAGAATTGTTATTCAAATTTTATGATTTAATGATTTATCTGTTCATAATTTAACTTTCAAATTTAAATAGCAAAATAATATATAATAAAATATTGGCTTGTTTGCTCTAAGCCCTAAGGTGAGTGAAGGGAAACGTATGCCTAGCATCCAATCCTGTAGACAGCTATAATTACGTACTTACTTACTTTTTATTCATTAATAATTATAAATCATTGTAAAATCATCGTTGTTTTTATCTGCAAAAAAGAGTTTATTTTTAATTTTTTAAACATGTTTTTTAAGAATATCGTTCATAAAATCACTATTCATATTTTTCTCGTTATTAATGTCGTCTATACTTACTTACAAAAGTGAAAACTCTGTCATACAATTTTTAATTTTATATTTGTACATACATTTTTCAGTGATTTTGCGTACCGAACAAATACTACAGAATCCAGAGCAAAAGTGAAATTATGTTTTAGTAACTTATGAAAAATTACAAATATAACTTGTAATATTTGTTTACACTTTTAAAAAAAATGTTAAATAAGTTTTTACTTTTTTAGAAACTCGATCACTTATTAATAAGTTATCAATTATAACATAAATTTAGAACCGTAATGTTCTATACTTTATAGTTTATATTACATGTTAATAATTATGGTCATTTGAATTATTTAAATTTCTTGGGTAATTAGAAATAAAAAAAATAAAATACCCGATTTGTTTTAAACTATTGCACACAACGTGTGTTAGTAATCGATGAACTTTTATGTGGAGTGTTGAATATGATTTTGTTTTAAATTTGAAAAAAACATTTGAAATTCCATAGCAATTACTAATTAGTAAAAACCAGATTTTACACAAACAAACAAAAAAATAAATGTTTGGGTGGCACAATCACGAAATAAGTGAGCTACATTTAAATAACCTGCCCATTGGAATTCAAAAATCTATTATACATAAAAATGTTTTTAATTTGAATCAATTTCCAAAAAGTGCTAAAAAAGTAAATACGTATTAAAATAGTATTTAACCTTAAATTTTCGGTTTTAACTATTTTTGCACAACATTATAATACATTTAAATAAATTACTCAATAGCCAATAGGTACTTATATTTTGATATTTAAAGATGAAACGGGATTAGTTAAACATGATACCTACCGTTATGTATCTTATGAACGTGAAACACAAATGAAAAATGAATAATCGCATAACGATTAAAACGTACATTTTAATGTTTTATTACAGTAAAATACTGTTTTTGCAAGCAGTTTTAAAATCTTCTTTATTAAACAAATAAATTAATAACTATAGTTGTATTATGATGTTTATTTATAGTTTTAGAGTCAATTATTAACATTTAAAAATAAAATATTAGGTGTCATGGTTTATTTTTTACATAAATTGATTTTGGTTTATGTATGTAATACATTATAAAATGAACCATTAACCCTATAATTTGTTTTGACTTTTTAAAATATTTCCATAAAAATATATTAGTGCTAATAGTAACTATAAGTCATACATTTTTATTAAGTATAAAGTTTTTAAATTATTATTTAATATGTTTCAGCCTAAAGCATTATTTTTCACTTGCATGGACAGCCGCATGTTGCCCGCCCGATTTACTGAAACTAATATTGGTGATATGTTTATTGGTTAGTATGTGTTATATAACTCAGGGGCAGTATACATTCTAAAATATAATTTATTTTAGAATACATTATGGTAATTTTTTTTTGTTTTTATCATTTGTTACTTTTAAAGTCGTTTAAAGTTTTTAATATTATTTTTGTGTTTATTACATTTTTGTAGTATTTTTACTTAGAGAATTATAATATTATATCAGGAGTTGACTTTAAAAATTTAATACTCGCGTATTATGATTAATTATACAATTTAATATAATATACATTATAAACATAAAACAGGGATAAACATAAATATGTTTACCATATAAGTTAATAAACTATTGATTCCCCTCGCGGCCTACTGATTTAATCTATTGTATACTCATAATATATTAATTAGTAATTACACCAATAACTAATAAGTAATAATATGTACATTTATTGCTATATAGTAGTGAATTTATAACATTTTTAAACTTTTATGTTATGGTATTTAGTTCGAAATGCTGGAAATTTGATTCCACATTCGCAGCATTTCCTAGATGAATATACTACATGTGAACCAGCAGCCTTGGAACTAGGATGTGTACACAACGATATAAGGCATGTTATCGTTTGCGGGCATTCTGATTGCAAAGTAATATTATTTTTAAAAATAAATTCCGGTGAATAAAAATATTCATCTAACCCTAAAATTTAATACTTTATTGTTTTCCCACAGAACTTATATAGTTTCAAAGTTGTATAAGCCCGTTGCATTTTTTTCTTAGATATATAGTTTCTACTCTGCCAATTCAGAAAAATTATTCAAGTTTTATAGAATTAAGTACCTAATTTACAATTTTAAACATTTTAAACAAATATTTTTTTGTAATTTATTGATATTCAATTCAAAACATCTACAATTTAAAATGTCAAGTATCATTTGATTATATTTAGTTCATAATAAAAACGAGGTAAAACTTACTTTTGTTGCTGAAAATGGAATGTATCATGTACTATGTAGGTACCTATCATGACCGGTGATTTGTAATAGTATTCGTATTTTAATATTTTTGTAGTTCACATGACCTATCATTGCTTCTACAACAATCCTAATTTCTTGATGTCCGTTGTGGTATTGCTACATACCTCCATATTGGTTGTACATCGTATTCTGTACAGTAGGTACCAATACATGCATATCGATCATTTATTGGCAGTTGCTACTTATTAAATAGGATTAAAGGACAACAATTGTATTTAAATGTAATATTGCTTAAAATCTTAAGAAAAAAATGTTTCCTTAAGAATTATGTAGTAAAAATATATTATTTAACTTTTGCTGTATTGTATTTTGTAGTGTAGAAAACGTTGATAGTAACTTTAAAGTAGGCAAATATGCAAAATATTGCTGCATTTATGGGTTACAACATAAAATTGGATAAGATTTTATTTTTCCGTCAGTCTTTATTTAAAAATAAATACTTAATAATAGTTAAATAATCGTTTGTCTTATGCTGGGCGTTGTTGTTATTATTAAAATAAAATGTTAGTTAACTTGTTCGTTTATTCTTAGGCAATGAACTTGTTGCACCTGCTCAGGGACACTGAATTTGCTAGCATCGACAACCGCCGGATGTCGCCGCTCCGATCATGGCTTTGTACGCACGCAATATCATCTTTGGAAAAGTATCAACAGCTAGAAGCATCAGGTTTTGATACACCACTAATTTTTCAGGCCGAGACTCCCTTACGCAGGATTATTGCTTACATTGATCCAGAAGACAAGTTTTCTGTCACAGACAAGTTATCACAGGTATAAAATACTATAACTATAACTACTCTGATTTTAAAATTTGAGTCTATACATCAATAACTTTTAAAGTTGAATTGAATATAATTTCTTAAAAATAAATTAATGCTTCAAATTAATAGGTACGCTTTACAATTGATTTAACTAAATAAAAAATCTAAACATTAGTTTTACTCGTTTGTTGTAATAAATCATTTTATTTTTGTAAGTAACAATACTTTTAGTGTCTAAATCTTAAAATCATTTCGTAAGTTTAAAATTAAATATTTTCATATCAATAATGAATAACTTTTCTGAGACGTGTGAGATCAGAATATTGTTACATCAAGTTATTTTTCAATCAACAAATTAATTTTCAAACATGTCGATAATTATTTAACATAAATAAATAAATTTACAAATTTAAAATATTTATAGGTGGGAACTTTTATTTTATTCATATTAGGTAGTTATATACTAGCTAGGTATTATAATTTTTAGTAGATATCTAATGAATATTGTTATTTGTATTTATTTCTGTTATACTGTCTTTCAATAATTACGAACTATAAAATCTTATACGATTTTACATAATCTCATATAACACTACAATAATATAGTAGGTAGCAATAATAGAAAATAATGTGTATTGACATATTGTGTATTTGTTTGTTATAGGTTAATACCCTACAGCAGATGCAAAATATTGCCAGCTACGGTTTCCTGAGGAAGCGTCTAGAGGCGTATGACCTGCATATACACGCTCTATGGTTTGACATATATACTGGGGATATATACTATTTTAGTAGACAGAGCAAAAAATTTGTTGAGATAAATGAAATGAACGTGGATAAACTAGTGGAAGAGGTTTCTAAGTACTATTGCTAAGTCAAAGGTGAAGTTTATACATCCTTCGACCATACACATACATACATAACGCGCACGCACACACGGAGACTTAACTTGGTGCTTAATATTAATTAAGGCTAACAGACTACTATACTATTTTGAATACATTCCAAAACAGACATTCCAAAAAAACAACTACACATTACCGTACTTAATTTTATTTTATATACCTAACTGTTATTGTTAATTTTCAATCAAAGAGATTTTGAATCTCCATATTATATAACGTTATTTTATTTTTTTCATATATAACTTATAATATATATTTATTGTTTTTAAATTGTTATAATTGTTTAAATCTTATATTGTCGATATTATTTTGTCACCAATAAAATACTAGAGAAATGACGAACGTGTACAGTGGTTTAATGTTAGGGAAATATTATAGAACAGCCGTCCATGATGTGAGCATTGTTTCTTGAATGCGCTAGATAAGTAGAGCATGAAAACTCCAGCCGGGATGCTGCGTGAAAGAGAAAGCAAAGTCATTTCTTTGTCGTGGTTTTCCACACCATGGTGTATTCTTTTACATGATTTTTCTAGTCACGGTTGTCGCGCTGGAAGAATACAGATTTTCCACTGCGAATAAGTCAACTCATCAAGGGTCCTCGTAAATGTATATCATATTATTATTATCATGAAATAAGTATCATTTTTGTCCCAAATTTTTATTATAAAATCCTCTGATCGTGTACTATGTATTACGGACCTATTGAAATATCCTCTGATTTAAACATTGAAGTTAAATTAAAGATTCGAATAAATGTATAGGAATTATTTATAAATATGTACTTAAGTTATAATTTGTGTGCCTACATAACTGATTTTGTGTCAAGAATCAAATAATAAATTGAATTATAGTTCTTACAAATTAAACATTTGTTTTTCGCAAACAGAGTATTTAAATTTTAAATTTTAAAATAAAGAATCCATAGATAATATTATTAAATATAATATTATAATTGTATGGATCTATAAATAAATTTAATCAGTTCCGATAGAAATATTAAGTGCAGATTAATATTTTAAATTTTGTCATGAGAAGTTAGTTTATCGTATAAAAGAGTAGAACATAATATAGCCACATAGATGATAGGTAATCGAAATATTAATGTCTGAGTGACTGAGTTTGACATAATGTCCATCATTAAATATTTAATGCATGAATAAATTAATATGTAATAAATCAGAAGGTGTTTTTAAGCAGTGTAGTTATTTTAATGTATAGATATTTCTCCATAGAATAGTGTATGTATTGCCGAGTGGCCTATATTTTTCAAACTCGGTGTGTCATGACTATACCTAGTTTGTCATTAATTTTTAAGTACTTATTCAACAATTAGTGCATTAATTGCATAAAATAACTAGATTATGTTAGGAATAAACAATTCAATTGACTTTACTAATATTCAATAGATAAATTGTAATTTATTAAACATATTACAGAGGTTTGTAGCGAATATTTATATATATTATAAGTTATAACATTTTAAATCACAGACGATTGCATATTATTTTCGCAAAGTAGGTACTTAATAAAAAATGCGAGCAAGTAGGTAATCGCTCTGCTGTACGGTAGGCGTCGAGTGAACTTCGTCATTGAGTAGGTCAGTATAATAGATGTGTACAATTTTAATTCAATGATAAATCAATATATTATACGAAAAACGATTTTGAGCTGACGACCGCAGCCTATACTATCGAGGTATATTTTATCACCTATGTATTGATACTGTTATTATAGAAATTGATTTTACTGTTAATAGTACGTTAAGTTTAAATAGTTTTTGCTTAAAACATCGCATTTATATTTTATTACACTACTGATTATTATTATTATAATAGTACATACTATGTGTACCGGTATAAGCAGGTAGGCAGTACCTAATTTAAAATTAATCTAAATATTTTGAAAACTTCATACGTACTTATATTAAAAATGTTAAATGTATAATAACATACGCTAAAGTTTCAAGTTTCCCCAATATTTTTGAATTAAACTAAAATAATTAAATCGTTGTTCTTCTTTAAAACGTCCAATTTAGTCAAAATTTGAATTTCAAATGTCTATTAAAATAGTGCACATATAATTTTTAGAATTTCGATTTTCAGTTAGAACTTTTAACAGGGAACCTTGTATTATATTTGCAAGCCTTAGCTATAAAAATAAAATATTTTATGCTTTTCTTGACTACAAAATAATTTGAAAATTTCCGTGATTTTGACAAATTTTGTCATAATTTTAACTTCAAACCCTCATAAAAATTATTTTAAATTCACATTTAATTTTTTTTTTAAGCTTTTTACTTCTCGTGAATTTTAGATTTCGAACAGAGCGATGAATGTATTGATTTTACAATGATGTGTGTATGTTTTTTTAATATTATACTCGATAAGTAAAAAGAGGCTTTGATTTTTAACTTTGAGGCAATGAGGGTGGTTTCTGATAACAATTTCAACAATTTCATACTTTTAGAGGTAAAAATGGATAAGTCTTAAGTACTTTTCAAAAGCATCTGGAAAAACAAAAAAAAATAAGGGAAAAGGGTGGATAATTACGCAAAACCAGTTTTCAATCAAATCACTTTTGTTTTTTTAGTATAATCCAAAAATGAATGACTTTAAATACTTTAAATTTTCAACAAATGTTTAAATTAAAATTGTCTCTACTAGATTATATATTCAAAATGTATTGACTCTGTTTTAAGCTATTTATAGATACTTAAAATATTTTAAGATTTTTTTTTTGTTTTTTCTTTAAATGTCAATAAAACAATTTTCTCTCGATCAAAAAGTTTGAAAATTGAAACAAGGATGCTCAAGAGTTTTGCTACTTATAATAAAAAAGAAGTTCTTGGGAATATTTACATTAATATTTTTTGAGCGTTTGAAGTTCATATTACTACGACATTGTTATAATTTCTTATTTTATTCTTAATTCCCATTTCCCCCTTAAGAGGGAATTAACCATTTCACATTGGACAACTTTTTTATTTTGTTGTAATATAAAAACGAATTACCGCAGATGCTTGCAATTTTTACCAAAAGTTTGTATTTAACATATTTTGTCTTTTTTTGAGAAATTTAGAAACATTTAAAATTTGAAATGTTAATAATTTGTATTCTAAATATGTCAATAAAAAAATTTTTTGCTGGGTTAAAAATCTTGAAAATGTAATAAAATATAAGGTTCTTCATAAGTTGTTACTGTAAAAAATTGAAAATATAATTGATGCAGAAATAAAATTTGAAATTCAAATATTGACAAAATTCGACAAAACCACGAACATTTGCAAATCATTGTTTATAAAAATGTATAATATGTTCGATTTATTTCATAGCTTAGATTTGAAAATTTGATGTAAGGTTTCTTACAATAACTAATCCATACTGTGACCAAAAAAAATCTTACAAACACAGTTTTCTTTTATAGACATTTAAAGTTCATATTCGGACCAAATTAGATATTCAAACGAAGAATACAAAATATTGGTTATTTTTATATTGTTCGTAAAGACTTGAAACTTGTAAAGTTTGTTATTATATTTTAATCAAACAATGACATTTTTGAATTCTATGTTTTCTGTTTCAATCAAAAATTAATGTGTTACTATTATAGCTGAAAATATTACTTAATTATCAATTAAACCATAATATATACTTTGTAATATAGGGATTAGGGTGATCGACAGTCTTCGCTCAGAACCGTTTTTCGTATCGACACATCCATTACAATGACTTTCTCGATACCTACTATATAGTAGAGTAGCGGTACCCACTTGGTAACCATTTTTTTTGTTGACGTTTGTAGAAAAAAAATCAATGTCCCGGATTTAAGCTCAAAAAGTGTCAACATATTTTTAAAATTTTACTATGTATTTAGAAATTTACGAAATATTATATTCGTTATTATTACTAATCTATTTATCATTTAGCAACTACACCTATAGCCACCACATGCTGGTTAACCGCGGTCAGTTTGAGTTTGGCCTATTTAATATAAAACCGACCATCTTCAAATTTCGCACTGGGCTGCCCCACCGAGCAACAGCTGGCTTACAGGCAATTTAATAATTTATATATCGTGTATACACTGTATAGCTATATAAAACTATTTAATAGTAACCACGTCTTCCGGTCAATAGTTCTTACATCAATTTTATTTTCCCACGGCCGCTGAGACGAGCGAGTTTCCACCGTATACCAATACAATACAGTGATATACAGACGAGAGTACCTATCTATATGCCACAATTTTCTTTTACGTATATTATACCATCATAATTATAATATACAATATGAATTTTATCGTCGACAACCACTACAACTGTTGTATAATTTAGTCATTCGAGACGACCTTTCGGCGTGGCGGCGATTCCGGGAGATCTGCAGTTGGAAGCGTTCCGTCGCCCGCCGCCCGCCGCCGTCGTTGACCCGTCTCTCTCTCTGTTTCTTTCACAGAATCTTTCACCGAATCTGTTTTACTCTGTCTTTCTCTCCGGAGCGGAGGTGAACATTGCGGGCGCAGGTACAGGCAAAGGTCACACAGGCCATTGCACGCTGTGCCGCCCGTCGTATAACATACGTGTGTGGTACGCGCACGCGATGGATCCGTACGTACAGATGAGGCGCAGCGGCGGCGAGGGCGTCAGAGTCCTGTTGACCTTGATTGGCGGCTCAGGATTATATTATTGTGTCCGCCGTTGCCGCACGCGCACACACTCACACAACGAGACGCATCCAGTATACACACACGCATGTAGGTTAATGCCTGGGCCGTCGTCGTGTGTATAAAAAAGTATTGTAAATAATATGCACACACACACGCACACACGCGCACACTCACACACGGCACACACGCACACACACGCACACACACACGGCCGCACACGCACACACGGCACACAATACGTATAATATTGTATGTGAGTACACTACTACGGCGGCGGCACGCACGTCCTGCGTGGCCTACATAAATGATATAATCATCGTGTGCACTGCAGTGCTGCGCCGCGGCCACGATAAGATTTGTGCAAGCGCTGGGGCGGTGGAACGCCGATGGTCGCTGCACGTGGGACGTCGTCGTCGGACGCGATTCTCAATCCCGATCGTAGGTATTATTATTTTTTTATATCGTTGTTCGTTTTTATATACCTCCAGACTCGCTCCCGCCATAAATGCGTTGTTTATATTTATTATATTATATTTCTTTCTTTCCGTACAAACTCGTTTTCCCGCAGCGCAACTACCTATGTCGTCGACCAAGACCGTAGCCAGAAAAATATTTCGTGGGGGGGGGGGACCCTTAGCCCTCCCTGTCTACGGCCTTGTCGTCGACAAAAGTTACG